ATTTTACATCGTGGTGACCAAAACTGCATGCAGGATTCCAAGTGTGGCCTTACCAAGGCCTTGTAAAGTGGTATTACCCCTTCACGTGATCTTGATTCTATTCTATTAACACTTCACGTGATCCTGATTCTATTCTATTATTATTAATAATAAAGTTGGAAGGGACCTTGGAGGTCATTTAGTCCAATCCTCTGCTCAGGCAGGAAACCCTATACCATTATAGACAAATGGCTATCCAGTCTCTTCTTAAAAACCTCCAGTGATGGAGCACCCACAACTTCTAGAGGCAGGTTGTTCCACTGGTTAATAGTTCTCACTGTCAGGAAGTTTCTCCTTAGTTCCAGGTTGCTTCTCTCCTTGATTAGTTTCCATCCGTTGCTTTAAGAGGAGTGGACTTCAACTCCCAGAATGCTCCAGCCAGCCATGCTTTAAGATGGGTGGACCTCCACTCCCAGAATCCCCAGCTGCTTTAAGATGGGTGGACTTCCACTCCCAGAATCCCCAGCCAGCATGCTTTAAGAGGGGTTGACTGTTTGAAGTTACAACAGCACTGTCAAAAGTGACATTTTTCACAGTTAAATGACTTTTGCAGCCTCCCCGCAGTTACGTGGTCAAAATTCAGGCACTTGGCAACTGACTCATATTTATGACGGTCGCAGTGTCCTGGGGTCACGTGTTCCCCTTTGGTCACGTGTCAACGGGGGACCCAGATTTGCTTAATAACAGTGTTACTAGCTTAACTGTGGCAGGAAAGGTCCTAAAATGGGGAAAACTCACTTAACGACCGTCTCGCTTAACAACAGCAGCATTGGCTTCAATCGTGGCTGTACATCGAGGACTCTCTGCAAATAACTTTTTTTAAAAAAAGAAATAACAGAAAAGATGGCAAAGAAAGGGAAAGGAAAGAAAGACATAAAGAATCAGCTTCCGGTCTTTTTTGACCGCCGTTATAAGTGTATTTATATTTTATCCGTTCTCTAATGCCAGAAGGTTTTCCCCAACTTTCCATATCTGAGGCTTTCTAATCACCAACGCCATCAATCACATTGTTCATTTTTCCTAGTTTTCAGCAAAAAGTCTGTGACCATTTTTCTGTCAGGGGCCAGTTGTTTTTTTTCCCTCCCATCAAACAAGTTAATTTTGCCACTCTGCAAATCCTGTCATTCTTCACCCTCCACGCCTCCCTGGAGGGCATTTAAATTTTTCCACCTTTGCGCACGGAAACGGTTTTTCCATCAATCTACTCTTGGTGCCTGTCCATTACAGACAGTCCTCGACTTACAACGGTTCTCTTAGTGACCGTTCAAAGTTACCACGGTGCTGAAAATGGACTTATGTCTATTTGTCACATTTATGAGCCTGGGAATTGAAGTCCACCCCTCTTAAAGCAGGCTGGCTGGGGATTCTGGGAGTGGAAATCCACCCCTTTTAAAGCAGGCTGGCTGGGGGATTCTGGGAGTGGAAATCCACCCCTTTTAAAGCAGGCTGGCTGGGGGATTCTGGGAGTGGAAGTCCTCCCCTCTTAAAGCATGCTGGCTGGGGGATTTTGGGAGTTGAAGTCCACCCCTCTTAAAGCAGACTGCTGGGGGATTCTGGGAGTTGAAGTCCACCCTTCTTAAAGCAGGCTGGCTGGGGATTCTGGGAGTGGAAATCCACCCCTTTTAAAGCAGGCTGGCTGGGGGATTCTGGGAGTGGAAGTCCTCCCCTCTTAAAGCATGCTGGCTGGGGGATTCTGGGAGTTGAAGTCCACCCCTCTTAAAGCAGGCTGGCTGGGGATTCTGGGAGTGGAAATCCACCCCTCTTAAAGCAGTTGGCTGGGGGATTCTGGGAGTTGAAGTCCACCTCTTTTAAAGCATGCTGGCTGGGGGATTTTGGGAGTTGAAGTCAACCCCTTTTAAAGCAGGCTGGCTGGGGGATTCTGGGAGTTGAAGTTCACCTCTTTTAAAGCAATTGGCTGGGGGATTCTGGGAGTTGAAGTCCACCTCTTTTAAAGCATGCTGGCTAGGGGATTCTGGGAGTTGAAGTCAACCCCTTTTAAAGCAGGCTGGCTGGGGGATTCTGGGAGTTATAAGTCCACCTCTCTTAAAGCATGCTGGTTCGGGAATTCTGGGAGTTGAAGTCCACCTCTCTTAAAACAGGCTGGCTGGGGAATTATGGGAGTGGAAGTCCCTAAGTCTTAAAGTTGCCAAGCTGGGAGACCCCTGATTTATATGAAGAATTAAACAATGTGTGTGTGGTTGTGTAGGTGTGCATCTCTGTGTGGTATGTGGCCTCAGGTGTGGCTTTTATAGATGCCCAGAAGTGGGGGGGAAGGAGGAAGGGAATCTTGTTCTGCCTCCCCCCCATCCAGGCTGCCTTCAATTTAGATTCCTCTCTCTCTCTCTCTCTCTCACACACACACACACACAAATACACAAGAGAGCAAACGACCCACAGAAACTTCCGCTCTCGCTTTACACTACACTCCGAGAAAGGACTCCGCGTCTCCCCCCAACACTCTTGCTTCCCGCCGTTCTGCCGCCTCAAGCCTCCAGCTCCAGCAGCAGTCTATCTCCGAAGCTTGCAAGACGGAGGATGGAGGACGCCGGCTTCCCGCGGGGCTTGCCCGAGGCTGGGCTGGCCGAGGACGATCTCCCGTCCTTGCCGACGGCCGAAGGGGCAGGCAGAACACGGAAAAGCAGAATCGGAAGGGATCTTAAGAGGTCACCCAGTCCAACCTCCTGCTCAAACAGGAAGGCCCATGTCCTATTCCAGCAAAATGGCTGTCCACTCGGCTCTCCAGGAGGGGCTGGAGGGGTGAGGAGGAGCTTCGCGCCCTCCTCCCTGCCCCACGGCGACCTCGAGCCTCCACCTCCAGCAGCAGTCTACCCCGGAAGCACCAGATGAAAGGATGCTCGCTTGCGAGGTTGGGCTTGGCCAGGCCGATCTCCCTCTCTAGCAGGCCCTCCCTTCGGAGCCTCCAGCTCCAGCCCCAGTCTACCCCAGAAGCTGCATACAGAGAATGATGATCGCCCGCTTGCCTTCCCCGAGGCTGGGCAGGCCGGTCCGATCTCCCCCGCCCTCTCTAGCGGGGCAGGGCTGGGGAGGGCTAGAGAAGCTTGGCCGAGCCTCCATCTCCAGTAGCAGTCTATCCGGGAAGCTCCAGACGGAGGACCCCACCCCTTTGCCTTTCCGCGGGGCTTCTCCGAAGCTGGCCTGGCTGGGCCCTCGGCCGCCCCCTGCCCAGCCCTTCTTTCCAGCCTCCAGCTCCAGCAGCAGTCTATCAGGGAAGCTCCAGACGATAGAAGACCCCCCCACACACTTTTCGCCTTCCCTCTAGCGGGGCTGGGCTGGCCGGGCCGATCTTCCCCCCCTCCCCTCTCTAGCGGGGCTGGACTGGTGCGGGGGGGGGAGCTAGGGAGGCTCGGGCGCCCCCTGCCCTTCCCTTCCTACGAGACTCCAGCTCCAGCAGCAGTCTATCCGGGAAGCTCCAGACGGAGGATGGAGGAAACCCCCCTCCGCGCGCTTTGGCTTCCCAGGGGCTGGCCTGGCCGGACCGATCCCCCTCCCCTCTCTAGCGGGGCAGGGAGGGGATTAGAGAGGTTTGGCCGAGTCGCTTTCCCCCTTCCCCTGCCCTTCCTTCGAGCCTCCAGCTCCAGCAGCAGTCTACCCCATACAGAATATGTTGATCGCTCGCTTGCCTTCCGCGGGGCTGGCCTGGCCGGGCCGATCCCCCTCCCCTCTTTAGCGGGGCAAGGCTGGGGGGCGGGGGAGTGAGAGGTCTAGACAGGCTCGGGCGCCCCCTGCCCGGCCTTTCCTTCCCACGAGCATGCAGCTCCACCTGCAGTCTATCCGGGGCGCTCTAGAGTCTAGACGGAGGAAACCTCCCCCTCCCCCAGGCGCGCGCTTTGGCTTCCCGGGGGCTGGGCTGGCCAGGCGCAGTAGGGCTGAGAGTGGGTGTGGGGGGGGCTAGAGAGGCTTGGCCGAGCCCCTCTGCGCCTTCCCCTGCCCTCCCTCCGAGCCTCCACCTCCAGCAGCAGTCTACCCCAGAAGCTGCATACAGAGTACTCGCCCGCTTGCCTTCCGCGGGGCTGATCCCCCTCCCCTCTCTAGCAGGGCACGGGTGAGGGGGGGGGGCTAGAGAGGTATGGCCGGGCCGCTCTCCGCCTTCCCCTGCCCTTCCCTAGAGCCTCCAGCTCCAGCAGCAGTCTACCCTATACAGAGTACGATGCCCGCCCGCTTTCCTTCCGCAGGGCCGACCCCCCCTCCCCTCTCTAGCGGGGCAGGGGTGGGGTTGGGGGCTAGCGAGGCTTGGCCGAGCCCCTCTCCGCCTTCCCCTGCCCTTCCTTAGAGCCTCCAGCTCCAGCAGCAGTCTACCCTATACAGAATCCGATGCCCGCCCGCTTGCCTTCCGCGGGGCTGGCCTGGCTGGGCCGACCCCCTCCCCTCTTTAGAGGGGCAGGGTTGGGGTTGGGGGCTGGAGAGGCTTGGCCGAGCCGTTCTCCGCCTTCCCGTGCCCTTCCTTAGACCCTCCAGCTCCAGCAGCAGTCTACCCTATACAGAGTCCGATGCTCGCCCGCTTGCCTTTCGCGAGGCTGGCCTGGCCGGGCCGACCCCCCCTCCCCTCTTTAGCGGGGCAGGGTTGGGGTTGGGGGCTGGAGAGGCTTGGCCGAGCCCCTCTCCGCCTTCCCCTGCCCTCCCTGAGAGCCTCCAGCTCCAGCAGCAATCTACCCCACAGAGAGTACGATGCCCGCCCGCTTGCCTTCCGCAGGGCCGACCCCCCCTCCCCTCCCCTCCCCAGCGGGGCAGGGCTGTTGGGAGGGGGAGGGAGGCTCGGGCGCCTCCTGCCCGGCCCTTCGCTCCGCTCATGCTGGGCAGAGCCGGGCAGGGCTGGGCGGCGAGAGGCGGTGACATCACCCTCAACGCCCACCCCCTGCCTGTGCCCAGCCTGGCTGCCCGCCGCCGCCGTTGCCAGCCTCCCTCCGTCCCTCCCAGCCTGCTTCCCGCCCGCCCTCCAGCAGACAGCGGCGTGCCGGGGCGCTCGGCTTAGCAGGGCCGGGCTGGCGACGGCCTCTCCGGGCTCTTCGCAGCGGCGGCGGCGCCGACACCCGCAACCACCTCCTCCTCCTGCCTGCTCCTCCTCCTTCTCCTCCGCCGGCGGGCGCCCCTGCGGGAGCCGCCCGCATGAGCCTCCGCAAAGGCGACAAGCCGCCCATCAGCATCCAGGAGCACATGGCCATCGACGTCTGCCCGGGTCCCATCCGCCCCATCAAGCAGATCTCCGACTACTTCCCGCGCTTCCCCCGCGGCCTCCCCGCCGCCGCCGCGCCGCTCAGCCGGAGCCAAAGCCAGCGCCGCGCCTCGGCCGGCCCGGCCAGCCCCAGCCCGTCCGGGACGCCCCCGCCGCGGGACGACGATGAGGACCTGGACCAGCTCTTCGGCGCCTACGGCAGCGGGGACGCCCCCCCGACGGCGCGAGCCCCCGAGCCCCCGCAGCAGGACGACCCCCTTACCCATCCGCCACCCCCGCCGGCCCGCGCGGAGGAGGAAGAGGAGGCGGCCGACGGCTACGAGTCCGACGACTGCAGTAAGTGGGGCGGGTTGGGGCCGCTTGGGGAAGCGGAGGGGCGCGCCTGGGAAAGGCTCCGGCGGCGTCGAAGGAGGGCGAGGGCGCCCGCGGGCGCCAGCGCCCGGGAAGGAACGCCGTCGGGGGATGCCGGAGGAATTCCGAGGGGTTGCGCTCGGGACAGACCTGGATGGAAGTTCGGGGGAGTTGTGTGTGTGTATGGTGAGGGGGGGAGGCGTGAGCTGACCGGCGTGCTCGCGAGGAGAGTGTGAGAGAACACGTGTGAATCTGGGCAAGAGCCAGGGGTGGCCCCGTCGTGGGTGGAGGTTTTCCAGAAGAGACTGGACAGCCGTTTGCCTGGAATGGTATCATCAAGTCTGCTTGAGTGGGAGGCTGGACTAGAGGACCTCCAAAGTCCCTTCCAACTGTTGTTATTCTGAGATCCAGATTCGAAATAAGGAGTGAGAATAATCAGGCTTACGGCCAGAAATTATGGAGGTTTCGAAGAAGACAGCTTTTTTTGTCCAGAATGGCAGGTCTCTTGCTTGAGCAGGCGGAGTGGTCTAGAGGACCTCCAGGGTCCCTTCCAACACTGTTATCCTGCTTTCCATTAAAACCTTTCTGCCTCGTGGCTGGGTTGGCTTCCTGGAGGCCAGGACAGACTCCCCCCTTGTCAAACTCAACAAGGTAGAAAACTTAAAAAAAAAAAAAAAGCCCCACCATCCTCTTCAAAACTGCTATTAGGAGGGTGTGGGGGCACCAGAATCAGCCAGATGTTAGCCTGGGTTTGGCATCTGTGCTCCCCCCCTCCGATCAAGTCCTTCCTAAGGACCTGAGAGAGCCAGATGTGGTTTGCTATTATTTATAGGGTGGGGTGGCTGGATGTCAACTGCTCCTAATCAAGCTGCCTTCTGCAATTGACTGATGGGGAGGTGGTCAACGCCCAATAGTGTTCAAGGGATGCTCCAGATCAGATACTCCAGATCAGAGATCCCCAACCTTTTGGGCACCACCAGGGACCATATCCGTGGAGAGAGGGTTTTCCACGGACCGGACAGTGCGTGATTGTGTGTGCTGCCTGCATCCCACGGATGGGGCTTTGCTTGTTTGTGGGGACCGGTTGCTGGCATGCCGTGGCCCAGTACTGCTCCACGGACCGGGGGTTGAGAACCCCTGATCCAGATGTTTAGGGATTGTTATCGTCGTTCTCTTCCTTCAAATCTCTGGATGTTTGCCGAAGGACCATCCCCCATAAATGTTCCTGTGGTCTCATGCACACCCGAAGGTGCTTTACCTCTTAGCAAATGTTATTACTCGTCTTATTACCTTCTATTATTAATAACGGTATTAATCGTACCATTATTGCAATTAATGCCATTAGTACGAATGGTACCATTATTAATAATAAGTGTATTATTATTAATAGTACATTCATAATATTATTTTCCTTCTTATTATCGTCTTTATTATCCTCTCTGCTTGATATTATTCTTATGGTTATTATTATTATTAATTTGGTGCTTTGCTTGGATACGGAGAGCGTCTGCACCAGAGACAAATTCCTTGTGTGTCTAATCACACTTGGCCAAATAAAACTATTTGGATGCTTTTCTATTCTGCAAATGCAAAGAGTTTGCTCTTGGAGTTTGCTACCCTCCCCAGCTGTTTCTCCCCCACCCTTCCTCAATTCTCCGATGTCTCCGCCCTTTGCCCCCCTGCCCCCGCTTGCTCTCCCCTTGGTGTCCTTGCAACATTGAAGACCACCTTGGGCGGGACAGGCTGGCAAAACACTGCGGCACTCGCCAGCCCACTGCCCTGTGGCCACTGCCGCAGAAAAAAAAATAGCTTCCCGGCTTTTTCCCTTTCGGACCAGGAAGGGATCTCCCACCCACCCCCCTCCTCAAATCCGCCTTTCCTAGGGCCAGGGTTTTGTTGGAAACACACCGGTTGCTCCTGTTTGCAAAATCAACAGTGCGTAGTGCAAGACAGTTGGGGTGCAGCCGGAGCTGGGAGCAGGAGGGAGAGAGAGAGAGAAAGGGATGAGGGTGCGAACCTGCATCTTGCTGGCAAGGATAATGGGATGGGCGGTCCTCTGAACCGGTGGGGAATCTGGAAGCCGAGCCTCGTTCTGGTATGCTGACCAGGTTTTTGGGAGCTGCATTCCTGGTGATGGTGAACAGGTGTACAGGCTGTTTGTGTCGAGTGTTGGGCTTTCTTAACGCAAGGTGTCAACACCCAGGATGCTGGGGGAGGGGGAAAGGTCTGTAGACCCTGATAATCCTGTGTGTAGAGATCCAGGGAAAGCAGAACAATCGGGCTGAAATTTTGTTGGGCGCACAGAGATGCTAAGTGTCGAGGGAAAAACAAAAAAAACCAATTTTAAGATTTAAATTTCTTTCTGTTTTAGCTCTGTTCACTAAGAACATTGGCAACCCCAGATATGAAGGGAGTCAGGCCTGGATTGGGAAGGGGAGAGAAGAAGAGGAAGGCGTTTTTTGAGAAAAGGGCTGTTTGGGATTGGAGAGAAAGGGATCCGGACTTTTTAAGAGAGGCATTATGATACAAGATTTGGATAGACCCCGGAAGAGCCAGGTTTTATTTATTTGATTTATTTATATCTCGCCTTTATCATTTTTATCAATAACTCAAGGCAGTGAACACACACACACACACACACACACACACACAATATTCTTTCCTTCTGTTTTCCCCAGAACAAATCCCTGCGGGGTGGGGTGGGTTGAGAGCGAGAGGGACCAGCCCAGTTTAAGTTCACTTTCTCTCTGGAAGCTCATTGGGTGTGACTGGGGCTTGTCGTCCTCTCTCAGTTCATCCTACCTCACAGGGCTGTTGTGGGGGTAAAATTCAGAAGGGATCACCCAAATGAGTAGAAGTGAATTCTGGGGGGGGGGAATATAAAAACAGAACAATCCTAAATAAAAGGTATTTATTTCCCTCTCTCGGATTTCTGTCTCGCCTTTTCCCTTGAAAAGCACTCTAGATTTCCCCCCTCCCCAACAACAGCCTTGTAGGGTAGGATGGTTGAAGTTGCTGATTTTAATGATTTTAAGTGCTGCGTTGTATATTAAATTGGACCGTTGATGTTTTCTGCCAGCTGAATCGTGAATAGTGTAGACCTGTCTTCTTTCCCTGCCGTGATTAATAATTTTAATTGTTTCCCCAATTAAAAACACTTTCAGTCTCTTGTTTGGAAGGCAGAAATTCAACTGGCAGTGTTGTAGCATTACAGCAGGGGTCTTCAAACTCTTACTTTTCTTTTTTTTTCAGGCCAGGAAACTGGAAAATTGGAACTTTAAAATGCGTTGTGGGCTAAATTTGATCCAGCTTTTTTTAGCGTTTTTTAACCATTTTAAAACTTTTTTTTAATACTTTAGTATTTTTAATGGCAACGTATGTCTTGAATGGCAAGCCGTGCAGAGTCATTGACTGAGACGGGGAGGTGGGGGGGGGTATAGAAATTGAGCAAATTCACACATAATACATAAATAAACCCTTCCAAACTTAATTTTACCTCTGGGGAGTCTTCCTCTTACCATCACAACCCAAAACTTCTGTCGCCTGGGGAGATGGTGGTTAAGTGGATTTTGCCCCATTTTACGACCTTTCTCAACACCGTTGTTAAGTGAATCGCTGCACTTTGTTACGTTAGTCACACAAATCGTTAAGCAAATCTGGCCTTCCCTGGGATTCTGCAAACCGTCTATAAATATGAATCCGTTGTCCCGCATTCAAATGTAAATCAGACGAACGTGGTGGGGATGCCGCCACAGTCACAGGCGTGAACAAACGGTCTTTTTTCCCAGCGTCGTCGTAACTTTGAACCGTCACTAAATGAAGCGCCGTAAGTCGAGGACGGCCTGTATTTGCAAAACCTCCTCGCCTGCACGTCCAGCCAGCCTGAAGAGCAGAGCAGCGAGTAAACCTTCAGTGAACAGGTAGCAAAGAGAAAACTCTGCTTTAGAGCCTGGAGAAGATTCTTAGGGCTTCAAAAGGTAGATTTATTCAAGGCGGTAGTTCTCAGTAAGGCTTTTAAACGCCGGCTCTCTAATTACTGGGGTATAAAGCAGGACTCGCTGCAGAGATGCGAGATAGCAATCCCTTTTCTCCCCTCAAAGAGGATTAGCAGCTTAAGTTTCTTTTTTAGAAAGGAAGAGACCGTGCAGGGCTCCTGGGATTGCGAGCTCGCTGCCTCCTTGCGATCAGCGGTGTGCGGCTTCCGAGGAGTTGTCGCTTTTCATTCCCAAACCCAGGCAGTCCTTGACTTACAGCTGTTCGTTTAGTGACCTGTTCGAAGTCACAACGGACCCTGGTTCCCACTTTACCACCTTTGCAGCATCCCCCGTGGTCCCGGGACCGAAATTCGTTCGCTTGGCAACTGGCTCACATTTTACAACGGTCGCAGCGTCCCGGGGGTTCGTGGGATCCCCTTTTGTGACCGTCTGAGAAGCAAAGTGTGTGGGGGAAGCGAGATTCATTGAACAACCGCGTGACTAACTTAACAACGAGGGGGTCCTGGGTGCTCTCTGAGCTGGGTGGTTTTCTTGCAGACGTTTCATGACCCAACTACCTAACATCATGAGTGCTAGAAGAGACAGGGGTTTGTTGGGGGGGAGGAGGAGGAGGAGGAGGAGACTGTGCGGTCCTTCATGTTCTCTGAGCTGGGTAGTTTTTCTTGCAGACGTTTCATGACCCAACTAGGTAACATCATCAGTGCTAGAAGGAAGAGGAGTTTGTGGGGTGGAAGAGAAGGGGGGGGAGGACTGTGGGGTTCTTGTTGGTCTCTGAGCTTGGTGGTTTTCTTGCAGACATTTCATGACCCAAGCAGGTAATGTCATCAGGGCTAGGAGGAGGAGGAGGACTGTGGGGTCCTTGGTGTTCTCTGAGCTTGGTGATTTTCTTGCAGACGTTTCATGACCCAGCTAGGGAACATCATCAGAGTTAGAAGAGAAAGGGGTATGTGGAATGGAGGAGAAGAAAAAGGGGAAGAGGAGAAGAAGAGC